CACTGGGCCAGAAAAGCTGAAACTTATGTGGAAGCATCCTGGGATAGTGTAGATTTTAAATTTTAAAAATCATGACCCCAGGGGGTAGGGCGGGGCCACAATAGGGAATCCAAGTTTTACATTGAAATATATAGGAGAAATCTTTAAAAATCTTCTTCTCAAGAACCACTGGACCAGAAAAGCTGAAACTAATGTGGAAGCATCCTGGGGTAGTGTAGATTCTAAATTGTTCAAATCATGACCCCCGGGGGTAGGGCGGGGCCACAATAGGGAATCCAAGTTTTACATTGAAATATATAAAAAAATCTTTAAAAATCTTCTTCTCAAGAACCACTGTGCCAGAAAAGCTGAAACTTATGTGGAAGCATCCTGGGGTAGTGTAGATTCTAAATTGTTCAAATCATGACCCCCGGGGGTAGGGCGGGGCCACAATAGGGAATCCAAGTTTTACATTGAAATATATAAAAAAAATCTTTAAAAATCTTCTTCTCAAGAACCACTGTGCCAGAAAAGCTGAAACTTATATGGAAGCATCCTGGGGTAGTGTAGATTCTAAATTGTTCAAATCATGACCCCCGGGGGTAGGGCGGGGCCACAATAGGAAATACAAGTTTTACATTGAAATATATAGGAAAAATCTTTAAGAATCTTCTCAAGAACCACTGGACCAGAAAAATTGAAACTTATGTGGAAGCATCCTGGGGTAGTGTAGATTCTAAATTGTTCAAATCATGGCCCCTGGGGGGAGGGTGGGGCCACAATAGGTATTACAAGGGGGGAGTCTGGTAATGAACAGCATGGCCAAAGTTACTCAGGTGAGCGATGTGGCCCATGGGCCTCTTGTTTTTTAGAGATGGAGTAGTACACAAGCACAATTTTTTAAAGAAAGAAAAGTCAATGGAATGAAGAAAAGGTGAAGTGAATTGTCACTCATTATATTTTAAATTTAATGTGGACATGGTCATTATTTTAGTTATGTCATAACCTTCTTATCAATTTTAAGCAGTGCAGATAGATGCATTTCTTATTGCTTTGAATAGAATAAATTATGAAAAAAGTTTGTATATGTTTTTTGATATAGAATTTATATTAAAAAAAAAATTATCAATTACTGCAGTTTTGAATTTCAGTACACTAGAAATTTTTCTGCCCTGCCATGAATATGGCTGGGGCATATAGAGTTTGTCATGTCCGTCTTCCATCCTTTCAACCTTCTGTCTGTCCTTCCATTCCGCTTTGCTTTTAGCTCAGTTCAAAACTAAGTTTCAAAGAAACTATTCAAGATATTTTTATCAATCTTCATATGCTGATACATATTGAAAAGAGGTATTCAATTTCATCAACGTACCTTGACCTTTCCTTTAACTTTGACCTCACTTTTCTTAAATTAGTGTTTAGCTCAGTTTTAAAGAAACCATTCAAGATAGTGTAATCAAACTTCATATGCTGATACATACTGAATCAACATTTTTTTACCTTGACCTTTCCTTTGACCTTGACCGTACTTATCTTAAATAAGTGTTTAGCTCAGTTTTAAAGAAACCATTCAGGATAGCGTAATCAAACTTCATTTGCTGATACATACTGATGAGAGCTATTCAACTGCATCAACATTTTTTGATCTTGATTTTTCCTTTGACCTTCACCTCACTTTTTCTAAATTAGTGTCAAACTTCATATTCTGATACAGACTGATGTAAGGTATTTGACTGTATCAACATTTTTGACCTTGACATTTCATTTGACCTTGACTTCATTTTTCTTGAAATGGTGATTAGCTCAGTGTTAATTAAACGGTTTCCATTCAAAATATTTTTATCAAACTTATTTTGCTTATGCGTATTAGTGAGAACTATTCAACTGCATTAAAAATGTATGACCTTGAACTTTCCTGTGACCTGGAACTCACTTTTCTTAAATTTGCATTTTGCTTAGTTTTAAAGAAACCATTAAATATAATTTTATATGAGCTTATGCACTTAACAGAATTTGGTGGGAATTTATCATCTATATCCAACTTTTTCGATTTCAATGTTAAAGAAACTATTTTAAGATATTCTCATCAAATTTCATACACTAAAAATATTTTTATGTTGCATTACTAATATGCCCACATGGTGCAGTGGTTAAAGCTCTAGAGTTGCGGAGTAAGGAGTTGATCCTTATGTCGCTGGTTCGAATCCCACTGTGGGACATGGAGACTGTATAAACCGAGGTCCCATGTCACAGTAGGTGCTGGCATAAAAAGATCCCTCACTGCTTAATGGCCCTTAGTGCCGAGTATAGGTCAAAATTTGCAGCTCTCCACCGGCAAGTGGTGGCATCTCCATATGAGTGAAAAATTCTCGAGAGGGATGTTAAACAATAAACAAGCAAATAAAAATTAATATACCCTCAGCGGGGCATTCATGTCCTATGGACATATTTCTAGTTTTGCCCTTTTTTACATTTGTACATGGATATACTTTTTATTTTTGCTCTGTAAACAACAACAACAAAAACATTATACCATATAATATGCACAAAATTATATGCTAGGAATGTATTGTGAAAGATGCATTTCAGCTGACAAATGTAGCATCTTTAAGCCAGCTTTTTAAAAAATTTTCTGAATGACTTTCAGGTACTTCTTTTATATTTGCAACTCATTTATAGGGATGTATTAGTATGGTAGCCTGTCTGCCAACACCTTGTAGATGAGATTCTAGCACATATTGTGTGAAATGGTTCTCTTAATTGACATGAGAAGGTCACTATTTTTTATCAAGATAAAAATTACTTGTATGTCTTGTAATAACATTATTTAATATATCCCTTTCATAGCACACGTGTTCGTTTCAAAGAGAAGAAAACATTTATAATTTTTCAAGGTCAATAATCTCATGGATGAAATGCAAACTGTACTATTTGAAATAGGTGGTGTAGGTATTTCAGAGTCTGTATTACAGCTTGCCAGTTTATTGTTGGAGGAATATTCTCATCAAATAAACTATGTAAAGATTTGCTTTTTAATGCAAAGTATTTTTATAAGTAATAACTTCATTTCAACTTACAATGAACAGTTAATCAGTGCATCTCACTTTGTATCTAATGCATTTTTAGAACACAAATTTGTGGTTTAAAACATGTTGTAATAGTTTAATAAATAAATGCTATTCATTTTTTTTAATTGACAAGAAATGAAAATGTAATGATTATTTCAAAATAGTGTTTTATTCCTCTTGTGTATATTTATAGATATGTAAAAGATTGTTATTTTTATTGATGTTATTTTTGTGTACAAAATACTAGTTATTTATTACTTTATACAAAACTAATGTTGTGAAGATTGATAATAATAGAAGTCCTTATGCATGTATTGAACAGTATACAAATGTCACCAATGTAATACACATTTACAAATAAAATGAAATTTTACATGACTTGCACATATTTGCATTATTTGTTACAGTTATAACAAATCTAATTCATTGTATTTATTGTTTCCAATTTTTATTGTCTATTCAAACATGGAAAAATTATATGTGTAATGATGTTAAAGACACAAGAATATGGAATATGAATTAAAATAAGACTGTATGAACTACCTTTAGATTTATGAATTCAGTAGACAGTGACTGTGACAAATGTGTATTTAGGATAGAGATCTTAGACATGAGAAGAAAAGGGGTTGTTTTACAAACTTTTTTTTGCATGGGGAAATATTGACATTTTTATACAACAAATGAAGTTACTGGAATTGTGAAGTCTACGTGTCTTCTGTGAGTAGACATCTTTTGAAACAAAGGTAGCTTGGGGCCAGAAATATTCTAGACCCAGTAGTAATGGTCTTTTGCACAAGGTCATAGTCACTGTATATCAAAGTATTAAATACTTACCAATAATTGTTTGTAACCTCAGAGTATGATCCTAACACAGGTTAATGCAGGTCAAGGCCATAGGGTTTAGAAATGTAATGAGTATTCAGATAAACACATAATTCTGTTTGTTTATTTGTTTGTTATACATCCTTTAAGAATTTTTCACTAGTATTGAGACACCACAACTTGCTGGTTGAGGGCTGCAAATATAGACCTGTACTTTTGAGCAGTGAGAGGTCTTTTCTTGTCCCAGCATATACTGCAACAAGGGAATTTGGTTTCATTGGAAGAACCGGTTTCCATGTCCTTCAGTGGGATTTGCACCTATGACTTAAGGAACAAGTCCCTACTCCATTACTCTAGAGCAAATGCTTTGACCACTGTGCCAAGCGGGCAATCACATTATTGTTATACTAGATGTAAATCAAGGCGAAGGGATAATTGTGACTTGGGGATGTATAACAACCCTGCATCAAGTTCAATTTTTGACCGCTATAAAATAACTTCCAAAGATTATATTATCCTAGGGTTCATTATGCTCAGAGTATATGACATAAATTGGATATATATAATTCTAAACTACAATTTTTTTTTTTTTTAGAAAAGTACAAGGTTATAGTTTCAAGAGGTCATATCTAGCATGTACAGGTGATTGTGGCTTAGATGATGATTCTATACCATAAGTCATCATGTGACTACGACGTTTTAAATCAATGTGTTTCTTTGGTGGTGGATGAAATATTTTCTTAACATAACAATTACTATCGGTCATTTACTATATTTCCATAAGATTCAGGACGTGAAAATTTGTCTACGAATAGACATCACCCTATTAGTTCCTTCTAGTTAAAATAAGGAATCACCATACTGGGTTTTAAAGTGCCTAATATTTTACTTAAGATAAATGCAAATTGACCAATAAATACTGGTATGAGAAGTACATTTATGCATGTGTAGTTTTTTTATTTAAATAATTAGAAAAAAGAAAATGGTCTACATAATCACGTATATATATATATTCTGGTCTCCTTTATGCATTATATATACTTGGTCTACTTTAACCCTTCGGGATCCTCAGAAAATATATACATGTCTACCTTAAACCTCCAATGTATTTACAAAATATTAAGGAGACCAGAAATGTCGTATATTTTTCAGGAAGCAACATTTAGGGCTGAGGGGGTAAAATTTTCATTATTGAAGCCTATTAGAATAAATTTGGGTGAAAGTGTGAATCAGAATGTCTCAAATAAAAGAAATGAAAAATGTCTACTTAATGCCTCAAAATAAGTGCGGTCTACTTTATGCCAAAGTCCACCTTATATATATATATATATATATATATATATATATATATATAGTGAAATTGTAGTAAAAGTCTACGGTATAGGTAGGTTATAAATTAAAATAAAATCCAAGATAAACAAACAAGTTCACATTTAATTATTACACTAAGCGCTTTCGCCGTGAGGCTCTTCAGAGTGTAACAAAGTTTATAAAAACAATACAACTTGGTTGTTATGACGTCGTTGTTGTGATGTCATAAAGGCAGCATTATATATTGGCGCAGGTAAATGTCATTAGGGCGCCAAAAGTAGAGAATTGAACATATGTACATTGTGATGAAATAGACTGCTAATTTTAAGCTATAATGTTCAATTTACATTTAGTTTAGGTTTAAATAATTTAACAAAGTAATCTTCCTTGGCTCTCCGTAATTGTTCATTATTTTCTAGAACTTTATAAAAAGGAAATATTAAAAAGTTTCCATTCGCACATGAATCAAAATGTTCACTGCATGGCGTATTCCTGACAGAAGGGTCCCGTATTTGTTGTTTATGGACTCTTACGCGGTCAGCTAGTTTGTTACCGGTCTGTCCAATGTAGTTTTCCCCGCATGAAGTACAAGTCATACAGTATATTAAATTTTTAGATTTGCATGACATATTCGCATTTACGGTAAATGTTTTACCACATTTAAAAGTAAACGTCTCTCCTGTTTTTAAATAAGGACAGGTTCCACATAGGGGGTCCATACATTTGGCCACTGTGAACATTTTGATTCATGTGCGAATGGAAACTTTTTAATATTTCCTTTTTATAAAGTTCTAGAAAATAATGAACAATTACGGAGAGCCAAGGAAGATTACTTTGTTAAATTATTTAAACCTAAACTAAATGTAAATTGAACATTATAGCTTAAAATTAGCAGTCTATTTCATCACAATGTACATATGTTCAATTCTCTACTTTTGGCGCCCTAATGACATTTACCTGCGCCAATATATAATGCTGCCTTTATGACGTCACAATAACGACGTCATAACAACCAAGTTGTATTGTTTTTATAAACTTTGTTACACTCTGAAGAGCCTCACGGCGAAAGCGCTTAGTGTAATAATTAAATGTGAACTTGTTTGTTTATCTTGGATTTTATTTTAATTATATATATATATATATATATATATATATATATATATATATATATATATATATATATATATTAATTTAATCATGGTACTAAATGTGTTGTGAATGTCGTTACGCACTATGACCAGATTTTTTACTTCCAAAATCTGGTCATGACCAGATTTTTACAACTTGGAGGTTGGCAAGTATGAGCCCTGTTACTTTTCTATAATTGTGTTACAGTATATTTTGATTTTTTTTTCTCACAGAACATAGGCATTTTCTTGTTGACCATTGTGTGTGGTGACAGAGACTTATGGGTGGTATCAGAAGCATTGGATTGTATATTTGATGTTTTTGGGGAAGATCATCTTGACCCTGTTGCTCAGGAGATAGGTCTCACAGAGAGACTGTCCAAATTAATACCAGACATGAAAGCAAGAGTAAGTACCTGTGGCCCTTTTCACAAAACTTCTTACGACTAAGATAAAAATTTGTCAACTCTGTAATTTTTTGTTTAATAAATATACTTATTTTTGTTTTCTTAAATATTTTTACAATGTTATCTGATGTGAAAAAAATAAGACCTTTTTTATGTCCTACTGCAGCCTAGATACTTTATGAAGAAGGGGAAAATTTTTGTCTTAGTCGTAAGATTTTTTGTGAAAAGGGTCGCAGTATTTTAAATGTCTTGTTAGGTCACATGAGCTGAAAGCTAAGGTGAGCTTTTCTAATCACATTTTGTCTGTAGTCCATTTGTCTGTAAACTTTCCACACTTTTGATTTCTTCTCCAGAACCACTGGGCCAATATCAGCCAAACTTGCCACAAAGCATTGTTGGGTTAAGGAGATTCAAGTTTATTCAAATAAAGGGCCACACTCTCTTTTAAGGGGAAATAATTAAGAATTAGTAAAAATTTGATGCTATCTTATAAAAATCTTCTCAAGAACCACTGGGCTAGAAAATATGAAACATACATGATAGTGTAGATTCAAGTTTGTTCAAATCATGACCCCTGGGGGTAGGGAAGCCACAATAGGTGATCAAATTTTTACACTGAAATACATAGGAAAAAATCTTTAAAAATTTTCTTCTCAAGAACAGCACGGCCATGACTGGTCATATTTATATGGAAGCATCCTCAGGAAGCGTCAGTGATTCAGATTTGTTCAAATCATGACCCCTTGGGTTAGGGTGGGGCCACAATAGGCATTTAGTTTTACTTAGGAATACATAAGAAAAAAATCTTTAAAAGAAAAAATCTTTAAAAATTTTCTTGTCAAGAACAGCAAAGCCATGATTGGTCATATTTATGTGGAAGCATCCTCTGGTAGTGTAGATTCAAATTTGTTCAAATCATGACCCCTGGGGGTTTGGTAGGGCCACAATGGGCAATCAAAGTTTTACTTAGGAATATATAGCATCCTCAGGTAGTGTAGATTCAAGTTTGTTCAAATTGTGACCCCGTAATTATTTGGGGGCCACAATGGGGGATCTCAGTTTTACATAGGAACAATCTTTTAAAATCTTCTCAAGAACAGCAAAGCCATGTTTAGTGATATAAATATAGGAGCATCCTCAGTTCATGTAGATTCAAATTTCTTTAAATCATGACCTCCCGGTGTAAAGAGGGGCCATAACAGGGGATCAAAGTTATACAAAGGAATATAAAGGATATATCAGTAAAAAATTTCTTCTCAAAAAGAGCATAGCCATGATTAGTCATATTTATCATTGTCTGGTTGAAGAAGTTTTGTGCTGATTTGATTAGAAATACTAAGATTTCACAGTGGACATGAATTCATGGGTCTCCGTCTTTCATACCACAAAAGCAACAGAAATTAAACACCAATGAAAATTAATTGTGATTTTACAGTACTAATTATGTTCTTTATAGAACCAAGTTAATTCCCGTATTAAAATATGGCAATTTACATGTTCTTTCTTGATGACTTTTTCACTAAACTGAACTTTCATGAAAGGTAAATGTAACATTTTAAGGGATTTGTACCTGCTTCCAGGATATGGGATTTAGATTAATTGAACTTGCAAAAAGTAATTTTCATCATTATTAATACGATTGAAGAAAAGGATTTGCCTAGTGCCTACAAATATAAACAGATATGGCCCTTCCTTTATTTAGGGAAAATCACACTTGATAGCCAGCCTAATATTTACGAAGAAATAAGGGATTCATTAATGTCACCAGACAGACACTACATGTAGTTTATGCCTTATTCATGCGTGTATGTCCACCACGAAAAAATTACAAAAAAGGGAATGAAGAGAGGTGGACATAAATTGAGTGTGAAAATTTAACACTTTACAACATACAGCTGTATGTGTACCAGTATCTTTTTTCTTAATCAAATCAATTTAAGTTTATTGTATTTTTATTTCAGGTAAATATGGTTAAAAAGAAACCAGATGAACATTATCCTGTAATTTCTACAGCAAGAACAAACCTGATTCGGTTTGTGAAATACAAACTTTCCAAGAAGAAGTCATAAGAGTGATTTTAATTTATAATAATACATGTAATATTATATTGAGGTAGAGCTGGATTGTTGACATTTTATGAATTTTATTGATTGCAATACCTTGTTTTGAAGAGATTTGATATTAGTGATATAAAACACATATGTCATGTGTTGGTTCATATGAATATTATACATGTACAAGGTTCATGTAGGTGCTGTGTATACCAGTTGTTTTGATTAAAGAGCTAAAGCCACGAACCATCATATTTGGCCCTGTGTTTTTCACAAAAATAAAGTTTCCGTTCAAGAAGAGTACTATACGTTAAATATTAGAGGACAACATTCTTCTTTTCCATACATAACTTATATCGTTATATAATGCGCCATTAAACACGTGCGACGGTTGGAAAATGCGACGGTTTCATAAAAACGTTAAAAAATGCCGTTTTTTCGACAGATTTTCCCAAAGTTAGATGTGGCCACAGTCAAGAACAACTTTTATACTTCCCATAGATATAGATATTACCGATACAAATCTTTATGTTTAATATCGTTGTTGTTCGTGGCTGTGGCCAATATGAAATTTGATTTTATATTTAAATTTTGATGGATCAAATAATCATTAATTTGTAGATCAATCGTTTACATTCAATTCATGTAATAATAAAAAAATATAAATTTCACAAAATATGCTAGAAAATCAGTAAATTGTTCATTTAAAACGCTAAATGTGAAAAATAGTCAACTACATACATTTTCTGAAGTAAATGTCTGGAAAAACTTTGTGGTTTTTACTATGACTAGGTCATTATGTATGACGTTACTAGTAATACGTCAGTTGTGACGTCATAAAGGTTGTAAATTATTTGGGATGTTGCTGAAAAGCTTTTAACGCTCTAGATAGTGCCCCTACATGTATTTACATGTATATGATTTAATTACATGTAAACCCAACTGGATGATACCATCAAATTATAAGTTATCAGAAATTCCCTCCCCTCCCTGAAATAATTCAAAATACTGTTGTTAATAGTGTTATCAGGCATGACTTAAATTGTAAACAAATTGATAGAGAGTGTAGCAGAGATATCACGCTATACCTTTTTAAAACAAGCGAAATAATAATGATATGGGTTGCTGTCCAAAGTGAAAATTAAAAAAAAAAATGAAAAAAAAGGAATGAAAAAAAATACGCATTAAGATAATCATCTGCATTTCCGCACCGAAATCCACCTTTTTTATGTACATGCAGAAGAATCATCTCAGTTGATTAACAGAATTCAGTTATATCCATGGCTTATACATGCTGATACGAAATAATGTATAGTTATAGTATACAGTTATGTGAGCACCGATATCAGGTTTCGTCAAAACACTTGCACATGACGATCCCGCGCCCGTGATCAAAAACAGAAGAATATATCGGTATATTTTTAATATGTCTGTATTTATTAAAATTGAAGTGAGGCTATTGATGCATATGTACATAAAACATATACCCGATCTTGTCATCCACTGTGAAACATAATTCAAATATACCCCCAGTGAGTAAAATTGCATTAAATGCATGTCGTATGTCTTAGACATCAGTATAAAATGTTTATGCATTTTTTGTACTGTGCTCCAAATATTTCATTGTAACTAACACAATTTAATTATTAGTATAGTTATGCTTCAGATCGTCAGTCAGTGAAAGGGTAGTGATTATAGGTCTATTTAGACGAAACATAAATTAAATAAATAAGTACACTACATATAATTTACCCAAAGTTTTTATCCGTCATCATCTCTTCATTGCAACTTTATTAGTATACGGTTTTATCTAAGAATTCAGTGATGTGAAAACACATGGAGAGAGAGAGAGAGAGAGAGAGAGAGATATCTTAGAATGTTTTAAAAAACAAATCAATAAAACGGAAATATGTTCTTTAAAACGTATGGCCGTAAGTTGTTTATAGCTAGATTTTTTTAAACCCAACGAAGTAGATTTTTTTTTTTGGATAATAATTTTTACTCTTTTTTTTAATCTATTGTCAGCTTATTCTGGTTAGTACACTTGTACCTCCTCCCTCAGTATAAACTATTTGTATCATGATATGTAGAATGGTAGATCCAAGACTTCCAGTTGAGATTGAAAAAAAAGAGGGGGGGGGGGGTGTTACAAACTAATGGCAACAAAATTTTCATCTAATGTAGTTATTTTTATTTTATTCTCTTAGGTTGTCTTGAATTTAACTTTCTTTATTGTTAATTAATAGAAATCAATCTAGAAATTGAAAATTGTTAAAGACTTTCCTACTCCTCTTATTTTTTCCTCAATGAGAAGGGGGGTGGGGACTGGTTTGGCAGCGCCTCTTTTCACGAAAAAAAAATCATAAAGAAAATTGAAAAAAAAATATGTACGGACAACTCTTATTGCTTCTCCGACTAAAATATTTTTAAGCAAGCTTTTGTTGATTAAAATCAATCTTGTGCTGATTGTGAGACAATAAAACAAGGATAAATGAACACCTGTACATGTATTTCAATTATGATAGTGATCCACATATCAGCAATATCAGTGTAGCTCTACTCTTTTTATAAACCATAAAAACCATAATGTGCAAATGAAATCGAAAGTGTGGATTTTACACAATGGTTACGTGTGATAATAACGAAAAATTCCTCCTGCTTAATCTTTTGATACATTTACATGGAAAATAATCATAGAATTTTCGCAGACTCTACCTTTACAAAATCCCTGCAGATATTAAGGTATTTGGAAAAAAAAAATTCGAATATTTTGCAAAAAAAAAAAAAAAAAAAAAAAAAATGGGGGGTCGGGGGTTCTAGCAAATACTGTTAAATATAATAATGGACAGTGACGAGTGATTTTTTAACGAATTTATTTTTCTTAAGAATATTTTTTGAAGTGTACTCTACTGTTTTCCATATTACTCCAAAGAAACTTACATTTAGGGCTAGAATGTTTTGATGAGTTCTGTTTACTAATTAAACCATTCTGATAAATTGCGAAATCCCTTTCCAATTAATCTAAAATTTTCCCTGTTTCTGTATCGAAAACAACGTTCAAATTATTGTTACAAATGAATAAATGGATTAGAAACAAGTCCTTCCAACTTTTTCCTTCTTCCTCTTGTCCAAATAATTTAGATCTTTTATACGTTAAAATACTCGCAATATCAGGATCTAAGAATTTTGCATTGAAAGTCTCTTTCAATTTAAACAAAACCTTTTTGCAATTAAACTTTTACCTACACTGTAGTTATAGAATTAGCTCTTCAGTTCAGAAACATTCGTTTCAAGATCATTTCAGGTATGTTGTCAATTATTTTTTTTTCCGACTGCCCACTTCCCAACTTTGAAAAACGATACTACGTGCCTGGACGCACATGCCAAAGATCAGCTTAATATCTGCTGGCCTGTAGGGGAAAATCCGGAAAACTTAGTTGGTCAGACTATCGGCATTTGAAGCATGTCGTATATTGTTTATGATGATCTATAACAATACTTCACTAGGAGCGAAGCACCGTTCAAAAATGTGTTGAAGGGATATAAATAGAATGTTCCTTTTTAATAGTATCATAGGGACCAGGTAGAATGAAAATATTCCAAGACAGTCTCACAGATTATATTCCCGCTTGAAAAGTTGGGGTATATAGTGATGGGGGTGTCCTTTCCGTCCGTCTGTGCGTCCGTCCATTACGCTTTGGGGTACACATCTCTTATCCGCAACTCCTCCTATACCACTCAATAAAATTTAATGATACTTTCGCAGAATCTTTGTAGATAGTGCCATTGTGCACCTCCTATTTCACTTTTTGATCGGACACATATTTCAGGTTTCCAATAGCAAAACATAGACACTGCCATTCTTTAAATAATATTTAGGGTACCCATCTCTTATCCGCAACTCCTCTTATACGCCTGAATAAATTAAAGATTTAATGATACTTTCACAGAATCTTTTTACATTGTGCCATTGTGCACCTCCTATTTCACTTTTGATCAGGCACATATTTCGGGTCTCCCATAGCAAAACATGGACTTTGCCATTATAAATATATGATAGGCGGGGTATCATTTTGTGAGCTCAGTGCTCACAGTACCTCTAGTTTTTACTTCATGTATCTATATAATTCAATCAGTTAAACACGAGGTTACCATAAAGACGGCAAGTTAAATCAAGTTCCAAATGCTTTTAATCGTCTTAAATTAATTATGATGTTTATTATATTATTAATACTAGTTTTAATTCAAAGTCACATATTCATACATGCAAAATCGATCAAGGAAATTTTTCCGCCCTACGACGTTACGTTACAGAAAATGACGTTCTACTAGCATTTTTCTTTTAAAACACCACCATACTTCAAACTCTCTTTTTCAAAAAATATAATCGATATCGAAAAAAGAAAAACGGCAAAGCAAAGCTAAAGGTCTTCACTATCAATTGACAAAAAACCGTTAATTTTTGACACAGGGCCGTTTTTGATGGTTCGTGGCTCTTGCTCTTTACCAATTCAAAACAAATGAAAAGTAATTGTTCTTCAGATACAAGTATTTAAGCATTTTTAGCTCACCTCAACAAAGTAAGGGGAGCTTATGTAATACCCATCAACGTCCCGGTTAAAGTTTTTTGAAGCAGATTTTTTTTGAGTATTCTTTGGTCTACATTGATCAGTGTTGCACTGACAATGGTTTAAGTATGTTCCATTTTACCAGTCCAGGTTTCAGATGCTGTATTTTCAGCTAAAGAATGACCAGGTTAGAGTTTTTGAAGCGATAACTTTAAGCACTATGCTGACCAACATTACATTGAAGAAACATTCATTGATGCAAACTACCAGACTTAATTCAGATGCTGGATTTGACCTACATTTTCTTGATGAATGACCAGGTTAAAGCTTTTGGAGAATGGCTCATTCCAGTGTACCTTCAATTTCTTCCTAGTCCAAACTTGCAAGAATGATGCATCAAGGGATGAACAATTTCAAACTTGATTCAGATGCCAGATTTGACCTACATTTTCTGGACGAATGACCAGGTTAAAATTTTGGCACAGGCTCATTCCAGTGTAACCTCAAGCCCCATTTGGACCAAGCTTGCATAGATTTTGAATCTAGGGATGCACACTATCAGATTTACTTTGGATGCTGGATTTGACCTACATTTTCTAGATGAGTGACCAGGTTGAAGTTTTTGCAGCAGGTTCATTCCAGTGTAAATTAAAGCCATACCTGG